AGTACTTTTAAAATAAATGTTCGGACATTCTACACCGTGACTCTTTTTAAATTATATATATGAAATACTATACTATGACTATGATTTGTTCAACATACTGGTGTATACAATAACCTTTTTCATATTTTGACTTCCTTCATGATATTTTCATAATATTCTATTCTTTTACCTCTTTTTCTCTATATTTTCAACACACTATGACCGTTTGGACTCTATGTTATTTTCTATTTACCTTTTTGTATTTTATTAAGATATTTTCGACATACTGTTAAACACATTTTATAGTTATGACCTTTTTTCTGTATTTGTTTTTCATAGTATTTTCGAACATAACATACAATGACTTTTTCTTCTTAAAGAATATTTTTGGGTCAGATTAGACTAAAGGATAATGACAGTGTTAAAGGGGGAGATAGAGGGATGACACGTGTAAAGGTAGCAGTCTGGATTTTAACCTGCGTCCATTGTAGCAGCAAATGTTTCAACATACTTAACCTTACCCAAAGGGGCTCTATAGGATTTAGATCAGGTGACTGTGGCCATTTGGAGAACAGTGAACTCATTGCCATGTTCAAGAAACCAGTTGGAGATGATTAGAGCTTTGTGACATGGGGCGTTATCCTGCTGGAAGTAGCATCAGAAGATGGGTACACTGTGGTCATAAAGGGATGGAAATGGTCAGAAACAATATTCAGGTAGGCTGTGGCGTTTAGACGATGATCAATTGGTATTAAGGGTAGGGCTGCACGATTTTGGGAAAAAAATCGAATTGCGATTTTTCGGACAAATATTGCGATTGCGATTCGAATTGCGATATTTGTTTTTAAGCAACCCAACGTAAGTTTATTGTAAAATGCGGCCATAACTCCGGCTAGGAAGGTCGTATCAACGTACTCCCTTCTCTAGCACCCCCGCAGCCCGAGCTACGAGTGAAAGAACTAAACTTACATGAAACTTCCGTTGGGTTGCTTTAAAGTCAAGCTTCGGTTTAAGATTCACCCTGTAATAGAAACATGTGATGGAGCATCACTAACCTGACTCAGATGGTTTCACCAAACCATCTAGGAAAGCTCCATTTGGAAAGGGCAGGCACTTTCAAAAGCACTTGGCAGGTGATTGGATCAATCTGTCTATCACCTTCTATCATGGGCCACTTCTGATTGATTAACAATGGATGGTACATGTGGAGCACAGCACTTCTGATTGGTGTGGATGACTGACACACAAGAAGAAAACAATTGTAAAAGAAACAAAAAAATTGTAAAAAAGATTTGAAAACGATTAATCGTTCAGCCCTAATTAAGGGGCCCACAGTATGCCAAGACAATACACCCCCCCCCCCCCCCCACCCCCCCCACCATTACATCACCACCATCAGCCTGAACCGTTGATACAAGGCAGGATGGATCCATGCTCTCATGTTGTCTTCTGACCCTACCGCCTGAATGTCGCAGCAGAAATGGTCTTGTGCATACCTTGGTTGTAAGAAGTGGTTATTTGAGTTACTGTTGCCTTTCTATCATCTGACCATTTTCAGAAAAAAAGTCAGATTTTGAAAAAGATATTCAGAATTTTGTGGTTTAAAAAATAAGTAAAAATTCTGAGGTTATCTGAAAAGGCCAGCATTTATAGATTTTCTAAAGAATTAATCATTTTAGAAAAAGTCCGAATTTTGAGAAAAAAATATTGGTAACACTTTATATTAAGGTACACCAATTAACCATCAACTAGTTGTTCATTAGCATGCATAGTAGCAGTATATAAAATACTTCTGGTCATTGTTACTATTCTTGTGGTACTAATGCCTTATTAGGCCCATATTGAGCAGAGCATATTAAAACCAAAACTCATGTACAACAACTTCCTTACTTGCAATAAATAAGCACTAATTTGAGGGTTATTGAAGAAAAACTCAACTAATGGCTTATTACTTGTAGAAAATTGTCATGTAGAATAAGGCATTAATAAGTGTTTTATAATGACTAATAAAGAGCCAATATACTGCTAATATGCATGCTAATAAACAACTAGTTGATGGTTAATTTGTGTACCTTAATATAAAGTGTTAAGAGGAAGATGAGGCACACGAGACCCAACAATGCAGACGAGCTGAAGGCCGCTAGTGAAGCAACCTGGGCTTCCATCACACCTCAGCAGTGCCACAGACTGATAGTCTCCATGCCACGCCGCATTGATGCAGTTATTCATGCTAAAGGAGGTCCAACCAAGTACTGACAGCAGGAACATAAACATACTTTTCAGAAGGACAGCGTTTCTATATTAGAACATCTATTTTGTATTCGTCTTATGTTTTATTAAAATGTTGAGATGCTGAATTTTGGCTTTAATCATCAAGATTAAAACAAATACACGCAGGAGATAATTCACTTTGTGTGTGATGAATCTATGTGATGTATAAGTTTCAACTTTATAAATTGAATTGCCGATATTTTCCATGATATTACATTTATTGAGTCCAAGTACAGGTTTAGCGAGGCGGAGAGAGATGCTAAACAACTACTCTGAGAAACTCCAACACCAGTTCTCAGCTAACGACTCTGCAGACAGGTCACAAACTATAAGGCTAAGGCCTCACACTCCGTGAACGGCAGACGCCTTGCTAACCGGCAGAGAAACTATGTTTTAGATCAGCGACAGTACTAACTCACCTGTTGTCCTGAAACTCTCCAGGGCATCTGGAAAAGCAATTAAAATAATTAATGGATAAGGGCTGCAAAGTTAATGTAGTGTTAATCGTGGTTAGATTTTAAATTCTAATACTCTACAGTTTCTCTGAATATGTGTTTCCTCTTTCCTGCAGACTTCCAGCAGCTGGTGGTGGTTAAAGAAGAGGTTCCCCCTGATCAGCAGGAGTGGAGCTCCAGTCTGGACCAGGAGGACCCAGTGCCCCCCCCCACACATTAAAGAGGAACAGGAGGAACTCTGGAGCAGTCAGGAGGGAGAGCAGCTTCAAGGGCTGATGGAGGCTGATATCACCAAGTCCACATTCACTCCTGTCCCTGTGAAGAGTGAAGATGAAGAAGAGAAACCTCAGTCCTCTCAGCTTCATCAAAGACAAAATGAACATATGGAAACAGAAGATGATGGAGAGGAATGTGGAGGACCAGGACCAGCCAGGAACTCAGATCCAGAGATACATTTACAACCAGAGACTGAGGACAACCCTGGAAGCTCTTCTGAACCTGACACTGAAGATACTGGAGATTTGAAGGAGCCCAGAGAACCTATGCATATGCCAAATCAGGAAGACCCAGAGCCCCCCCCACACATTAAAGAGGAGCAGGAGGAACTATGGAGTATTCAGGAGGGAGAGCAGCTTCAAGGGCTGGAGGAGGCTGATATCACCAAGTCCACATTCACTCCTGTCCCTGTGAAGAGTGAAGATGATGAAGAGAAACCTCAGTCCTCTCAGCTTCATCAAAGACAAACTGAACACCTGGAAACAGAAGCTGATGGAGATGACTGTGGAGGACCAGAACCAGCCAGGAGCTCAGATCCAGAGAGACATTTACAACCAGAGACTGAGGACAACCCTGGAGACTGTTCTGAACCTGACACTGGAGATACTGGAGATTCGAAGGAGCCCAGAGAACCAGGTTCAAACTCTCAGAAAAATAAACAAGACCCTGTCTGTGATTCAAGACGTAGTACAGGAGAGAAACCATTCAGCTGCTCAGTCTGTGAGAAGTCTTTTAAACAGAGGGGACATTTAAAGGAACATATGAAAATCCATACAGGAAAGAAACCATTCAGCTGCTCAGTCTGTAAGAAATCATTTCCAACGAGAACAAATTTCCATAGACATTTGAGAACACACACAGGAGAGAAACCATTCAGCTGTGCAGTCTGTGAGAAAGCTTTTGCCCTGAAAGAACCTTTACAACGACACATGAGAATCCACACAGGAGAGAAACTATTCAGGTGCTCAGTCTGTGAGAAATCTTTTGCACAGAGAGGATATCTAAAAGACCACATGATAGTCCACACAGGAGAGAAACCATTCTGCTGCTCAGTCTGTGAGAAATCTTTTAAACGGAGAGAAAGTTTAAAGGAACATATGAAAATCCATACAGGAGAGAAACCATTCAGCTGCTCAATCTGTAAGAAATCCTTTCCAACGAGAGCACATTTCCATCGACACTTGAGAATCCACACAGGAGAGAAACCATTCAGCTGTACAGTCTGTGAGAAAGCTTTTGCCCTGAATGCAACTTTACAACGACACATGACAAACCACACAGGAGAGAAACCATTCAGCTGCAGTGTCTGTGAAAAAAGATTTACACAGAGCTATCAGGTCAAAATCCATAAGTGTGTTGGTCGTCAGTCCTCACAGCTTCATCAAACTCAAACTGAAGAGATCAGAGAGGCAGAGCCTCCAGCCAGCAGCTCAGCTGAACACATGGAAACAGAAGCTGATGGAGAGGACTGTGGAGGACCAGAACCAGCCAGGAACTCAGATCCAGAGAGACATTTACAACCAGAGACTGAGGACAACCCTGGAGGCTCTTCTGAACCTGAGACTGAAGACAGTGATTATTGTTAGGTTTAAACTATTTGGGTAAGTCCCAGTAAGTCGTATATAATGCGATAACTTGACGTTTTGTGATGAAAATGTTTTGGTCCAAGTAAAGAGAGGACTGTGGAGGACCAGAACTGTCAACATTTATAACCAGAGACCGAGGAGGTTTCCATATTGGGATATATAATTAAAACAAAAGTTAATATAATCAAATATAATTTTGTAGAATCCACAATGTAAAATGCATGATATGTCACTCTATACTTATTTACTAAATGTACACGGTTTGTTAAACTGACATGAAAGAGTTTAAGTTCTGATATAGTTTATCACTAAAGGTGTCACTATTCAGCAGAGGGAAGACACCCTTACTCTCACAGCAGGAGGCCCCTGACTCAATGGGATATTACTGTAAGCTTTAGTTTAGTCTTTGAGGCAAGTCTGGACATGTCCAGTCTCACACCTGGAAGCAATGACTCTTCTCCACATACATGGGTCTGTTGGTGTGCATTCGCTTCTGCTTCTGTTGGTATGATTTAAAAGCAGCAGCTGGGAGAGGAAAAAAGCTCTTAGGGTTCTTAACCGGGAATCTCTCCCTAGACGTTATTTACCCGCTGTCATCATGAGGAAATCTCTCTGGAGATATGCAGGGAGTTTTAACAGAAAGGAAAACATGTTAACCGGTAAATTCATCATTAATACCAGAGAGTAAGACATTGTATAACTGTCACATTGTAACCAGATAAAGTAAAAAAAACGGTGTTAGAGTGTGGACCATCTCTTCAAATAAAACCATCCCACCTATTTGGACTGGGGTAACCTAAATTAATTCTGCGCTGTCCTCTTCTGATTTAGGGTAAGATTGCCACACTCACACTTAGGTAGGGTCACACCTCATAACAGATACTAGAATCCTACGGGATCGCTGTAGTAAGATGTTGGAGGTCTTCTATCAATCAATCAATCAATGTTTATTTATATTGCCCAATATCACAAATGTTACATTTGTCTCAGTGGACTTTACAGTTTGTACAAAATATCAGTATGACACCCTCTGTCCTTAGACCCTCACATCGTACAAGGAAAAACTTCCAAAGAAAACCCACAGTTTAAAGGGAAAAATGGGAGAAACCTCAGGGAGAGCAACAGAGGAGGGCTACCTATGTTGCAAATGTATTATCTTTTCAATTTACACACGGCATCTATTGCACGTCTGTCCGTCCTGGGAGAGGGATCCCAAAAACATTGCTGTTAAAGTAAGAACACATGACATTGAAACCTACATCAGTGATGGCCTTCTTGGCCTTCTCCTCTGCATTCCTTGCTTCCTGAACAATGTCATCCACTTCACCCTGGATCTGGACCAGGTCTGTCTCAAGCTTCTTCTTGGTGTTCACAAGGCTTGTGTTCTAAAAGGTTCAAAGATTTAGCCTCCTAAGTCAACAGCTGTCTAATATTCACAATATGTACGATCTCATTAGATTCTTGAATGATTGAAAACATGATTGTGTTTGTTCACCTGAGAGTGCAGGAGTCCAACACGCTCACTGGCATCAACCAGCTCTTGCTCAGCAATTTTGCGACTTCTCTCTGTCTGTTCCAGAGCAGCTCTAAGTTCCTCAATTTCAGCCACCATAAGACCGTTTCTACGATCCACCATAGCAGCCTGCTCCTTGAAGTCCTCCTGGGCTCTGACAGCATCATCAAGGTGCAGTTGAGCATCCTAGTGATAAAACCATCAGAAATATATCCATGAATGCCAAAAGTAGCCTTATGTAACACTTGTGTTTTATACAATACCTTCAGCTGTGCCTGCACATTCCTGAGCTGCTTCTGGGACTCAGCAGCCTGGCGGTTGGCATGGCTGAGCTGAATCTCCATCTCATTCAGATCTCCCTCCATCTTCTTCTTGATTCTCAGGGCATCGTTCCTGCTCCTGACCTCAGAATCCAGAGTGCTCTGCATGGAGTCAGTCACTCTCTGGCTGTTCCTCTTGATCTGTTCCATCTCTTCATCTTTCTCTGCCAGCTTCCTGTCCACCTCACCCTTAATCTGGGTGAGCTCCAGCTGAACACGAAGGATCTTAGACTCTTCATGTTCCAGAGTTCCCTAATGAAATCAAACAATGAAACACTCATCTTTGCCTTCAAACACTGATACATTAGTCAATGAATTTTAATGTTATAAACTCCCAGAAAAAAACAATACCTCAGCCTCTTCAAGAGCTGTCTGGATCTCAGTCTTCTCTGTCTCCACCTGCTTCTTGGACTTCTCCAGCTCATGGATGTTCTTGCCAGTCTCACCAATCTGTTCAGTCAGATCTGAGATCTCCTCTGCAGAAAGATACATGTGTTTTATCATATTGTTGAACCTTACAACAGATAGAGCCAGAAATCTAGGTGTAGTCATGGACTCTGACCTGAGTTTCAACAGTCACATTAAAACAGTTACTAAATCAGACTACTATCACCTAAAGAACATATCTAGGATTAAAAGACTAATGTCACAGCAGGATTTGGAAAAACTTGTCCATGCTTTTATCTTCAGTAGACTCGACTACTGCAATGGTGTCTTCACAGGTCTCACTAAAGAATCTATTAGGAAGCTGCAGCTGATTTAGAACGCTGCTGCTCGAGTCCTCACTAACACTAAGAAAGTGGATCACTCCTGTTCTGAAGTCTTTACACTGGCTTCCTGTGTGTCAAAGAATAGATTTCTAAATACTGCTGCTGGTTTATAAAGCACTGAATGGTTTAGGCCCAAAATACATTTCTGACCTCCTGCTAAATGATGAACCATCCAGATCTCTCAGGTCTTCAGGGACTGGTCAGCTTTCTGTCCCCAGAGTCAGAACTAAACATGGAGAAGCAGCGTTCAGTTCTTATGCTCCAAATATCTGGAACAAACTCCCAGAAACCTGCAGGTCCGCTGCAACTCTGACTACTTTTAAATCCAGCAAGAAGACTTTTCTTTTTGTCGCTGCTTTTAATTGAAACTGAGCCGTTGTTCATCAGTAAAGTGGAACTTCTGTGTGAACTATTCACATCTTAAACTGCACTGTAACTTTTTATTCATGCATTTTTTCTTTTAATGTTTCTTTTATTATCTTTTCTTTTTAATGACTGTTTTTAAATGCCTTTGTCTGAATGTCTTTCATTTTTGTAAAGCACCTTGAATTGCCTTGTGTTGAAAGGTGCTATATAAATAAACTTGCCTTGCCTAAATTGTACATTATGTAGAACTCACGTTGCAGATTCTTGTTTTCACGCTTCATGGTCTCCAGATGATCAAGAGCCTCCTCATAAGAGTTCTTCATCTTGAACAGCTCAGTGCTGAGAGAACGAGCCTCCTTCTGTGCTCCCTCAAGCTCTGCCTGACCCTCCTCGTGCTTCTGCTTCCACTCTGCCAACACCTGAATAATACAATTCATACAGTTCATTTGGTTATGTTCACGTAAGAGGGCGAAATAAATATTCATGTCATTGTTTGTGTGGTTTGGCCATAAAGTAAGTTGTGTTACCTTGTCAAAGTTCCTCTGCTTTTTGTCCAGGTTGGCAGCAAGGCCATTGGCCCTCTCCACATCAATCATGAGGTCCTCCACCTCACTCTGGAGCCTCTGTTTGGTTTTCTCAAGAGAAGCACTCTTGGAATTCACTGCCTCAATCTGTTCCTCAGCCTCCTGAAGGCGCTGGGCAAGCTTTTTCCTGTTTGGAAATTGAGGTATTTGTGGCTCAGTTAAACTCGTAAAGTTACAAGTTATTTTCTAATTATATTTGCATATATGAAAGTAAGAAGCTATACACATTTTAAAATACTAATATCATTATCAGCAATTCAGGAATCAGTAGAGTTGCTGCTAGAATGCTACACTTCTGGCCATTTAACAGTTTGAATGTCACTCACTTGGATTCCTCAAGCTCCTCAGTGCGCTGGATAGCATCAGTTTCATACTTGGATCTCCACTGAGCCACCTCGCTGTTGGCCTTGGACATTCCACGCTGCAGCTCAGCCTTGGCCTCCTGCTCCCTGCAATCAACCCGCCATGACTGTGATCTGCTGAGGGAGGAGCAGGAGGCCAAGGGACAAGGGGCAAGAGCATTCTTGGCCTGTTGTAAGAAATATTATTAACCTTTACACCATTTCTAAATCACAAACAAATGATACAAATACACACTATCTTAATGGTTTCTTACCTTAACCTCCTCCTCAATTTGTCTCTTCAATTCATCAATCTGCTGTGTGGAGGCCTGCTTGCCTCTGGTCAACTGAGAGACAAGAGCTTCCTTCTCTTCAACTTGACGGCTGAACTCACCTTGTGTGAACAATATTATAATACGTTAGTTTGTGCAACGTTTCTCAATCATACACTCCAAAGACCGTTCACCAAAAACATGTAGATACCATTTTCTGTCAGGAGACGTGCTTTCTGTGAACTTGTGTCATTGATCTGGCGGACGTTTTCATCATTCTTGGTCTTCAGTTCGCTAAGTTGGTCCTCAAGAGTGCGGCACATCTTTTCAAGATTTCCCTAATGAGGAAGAAATAAACAAGATCAATGATCAGATTTTATTCACAAAATAATTTACGTGATGTACTATATTCATATTGGTAACATCATATACTAATACAAAAGCATGTAATGCTAGTGTACCTTTGCCTTAGCAACATTCTCCATGTTGCTGGAGAGGTCATCAATCTCCATCTTGTATTCACTCTTTTCCTTCTCAAGCTTCTGCTTGACACGCTGGAGGTTGTCGATCTGCTCTCCCAGCTCAGCAACACTGTCAGCCTGCTTCTTGCGAAGGGCAGCAGCAGTTGCTTCGTGCTGCAGAGTGGACTCCTCAAGGTCACGACGGAGCTTCTGGAACTCAGCCTCACGCTTCTTGTTTATCTCAATCTGAGCAGCGATGGCACCTCCAGCCTCCTCCAGCCTCTCACTGATCTCCTCAAGTTCCCTGGAGAGGTCAGCTCTCTGCTGGCAACCGGTAATTGTTTGAGCAACCCATCCGAACCTTTGCAGGGGATGCCCACTGCGGGTGGCAGAACAGACCTGAATCCAGTAGACTTCTCAGAATGACTAGAGATCTTCTCATAGTCCAAAACAGTTAACAGGCACAGCAGAATCCCGATATGGGCAATTTTCCCAGACCATCAATCAATCAATCAATGTTTATTTATATAGCCCAATATCACAAATGTTACATTTGTCTCAGTGGACTTTACAGTTTGTACAAAATATCAGTATGACAATACGACACCCTCTGTCCTTAGACCCTCACATCGTACAAGGAAAAACTTCCGAAGAAAACCCACAGTTTAAAGGGAAAAATGGGAGAAATCTCAGGGAGAGCAACAGAGGAGGGATCCCTCTCCCAGGACGGACAGACGTGCAATAGATGCCGTGTGTAAATTGAAAAGATAATACATTTGCAACATAGGTAGACCAGCACACAGTATCCGCGATGTTCCTGGAGCAAAATCAGCACAGCAGCCAAAGACAGGCGAAAACAGCAACGTGGAAGCGCTCCGGTCCCTCCGTGGTATCCCCGGGGTGAAAGCAGGCCTCTGCAACAGCAGAACCAGGACAGGTGGAAAGCAGGCCCCAGCGGTGGTAAAATCATCCTCCGTACAGCAGCACACGCCCGGTGGAAGCAGGCCAAGCCCGAAGCGTGGATCCACTCCGTCTCTCCGCAACGACTCCGGGGTAAAAACCTCTCCAGTACAGCCGTATTCTACAGGTGGGAGCAGGCCTCCGTAGATCGCAGATCGCAGATCGCAGGCAGCAACAGGTGGAGCCGCTCCGTCTCTTCGCGACGAGCAGGCCTCCGTAGATTGCAGATCGCAGGCAGCAACAGGTGGAGCCGCTCCGTCTCTTCGCGACGTCTCCGGAGGAAAAACACCTCAGTACAGCAGCACTCGACAGGTGGGAATAGGCCTCGGCAGATCGCAGACAACTAAAACTACTACTTGTATAAGCAGGGATGGCTAAAAGTTTGTAAGCAGGAGAGCTAGATGCTAACAAATGCCAGATGCTAACAGGTAGTGCGAGCCTGTAGACATTGCGACTGCCTCCAATGACAGCGTAGGATCGACTAGATCTTCAAAAAGCTTCAAAGCTTCATGAAGCTTCATCTCACCATCACTAGGTCCAGTGTTTCCTAAAGGAGGTTATAAAGGAAGTATTGAGGCTCCTTTCCTATCATCTAGAGCAGTGCTTCTCAAACTTTTCTCAGCCAAGTACCCTCTGACCGACCCCGAAAAAGTTTGATAGATAAAGCCTATATAAGTAATTACAATATAGTGATGTCCCCTCAGTGTGTGATTTATTAACTCCTTCATGCATGAATTACAACAAACTAAGGATATTTTCATCTTTATGCATTTTTTAAAAACAGATTTTTAAGTAATATATGTTTAACAAACCAATGAACAAAATGATATATCATGCAAAAACTATAAAATATGAAAGCCCATGCATATACAAGAAAAGCAGCATTTAATTAGCAGTCTCTAATGCAGTGACCACAATGCACGAAAGGGTTAAAAAAAACAACGTTGTAACAGAAAACAAATTGTAATTCTAAGCAAACTATGTAAATAATACTGCAATGATACTATTTAGGAGTTTTAGGTCCTCAGCAATCGTGTACGGCTTTTTGGCTTTAGCGATGCGCCTCCAGTGCTTTGGCTGATGTTGTGGAGGCTTTTCGCATCATCTCTTGTGAGGATCTGTACTCATATTTTTATTTTATGTATCTTATTATATTTAATTTGTTATCAATTGACTATATTTCACACACAAAAAAATCTTCCCGCAGGATAAGTATTTTAATTATGTATTCATGTATTTTCTCTATTATATATAGATTAGTCGTTCTCTTGTATTGAATGTTCCAGGTTGTATTGCCCCCATGTGTTGCTGTAGCTCCACCCCTTGATGGCACTGTGGCCGTGTCTCAATTCAGGGGCTGCACCCTTCGGAGTACGCAGCCCGGGTAGGCTGGACCGAGCGGCCTACGAAATGAGACGGTCTAGCTTACGGAGGGCTTCGTATTTACGTCACGTGATACGTGCTGTTCGGTTGCACTGCTCCAGCAGCCTGCTAGCAAATTAGCTTACAAGCTAACTCAGCTGAAAATGATCCAGAAACTTTACTTTTACTTTTACATTTTTTGGAGTCTGCGATGAATTAAAGAGGACCATGGCCAGGCAAATAAGATGAAGCTGTTCCTTTAGCCCCCAGTAATGTTACATTAGTAAGTTAACAAGTAAATGATATATAGCTGATGTAATTTAATCATATTATTTCATATTTAAAATAAGTCTTAATTTGTCTGTACTAATAAAACATATAGATTGATTCTTAACAATATTAGTGTTCTAATCTTAATAGCTGTGATCATAACAGTTTATATTCTCCTTCTGCCCCTAAACCAGATGATGTCCCACTGACCCCAGGTCAGCATCTCCAGGTCCAGCAGCACCGTGACCCCCGCTCTGCTGAAATACACAATTAAACATTTTCTATGACCTATTTTTTGTATTAATCAAATTAAACTGAAGACAGTTTAATGACCTAGAGATATCCTATTATTCCACTGCTTATGTACACATGTTTTAAATAATGGTTAAAACCTCAGTAAATGAAATGAACAATGTGTTTAACAATTACAATTTAATATTGTATTTTCATCTTATCACAAACTAGAGGTAAGAATATATCCATCCTCTCTCTGCAGCTTCATGTCTTCTATTATTATAACTTTCATCATTGAGACAGAGGAAATCAATCATGTTATTTAACATCACCAGCAGTAACACAAATATCAGCAAAAGTGTGTTTATGGAGTTGTTTATTTGTATTATATGTGCAGCAAGTATATAGAAGCAGCTGTTTGGGGAATCAGACAGACTCAAGCTATAATCATTAGATATCTATTCAAAGAAAGGACACATACAAAATCTAATTCTGAAAGTAACACACAAGTCTGTAGGACGGCAGTAAGCAGAGGTCTGGGTGGAGGATGCTCCTGATGCAACCTGATCTCACCAGAATGCGTGACTCCACCACGACTCATTAACACCGCATTGCGTGGTGGACTCACGAACTTTGTTACATGTACGTGTCTGCACCACGCAAACAACCCCAATGTAAAGTGAATGAGGCTCTTTTGTCGTGGTGCACACACGCATTTCTACAACGTCCCGCAGTGAGCTTTTATTCTATAAAACGTTTTTTAAATCTACTTTATAGCTTGTAGTAACTCGCGGGAGGCTTATTTTATTTTATTTGTATTCATAATATTAAAAAAAAATCGTCAGAATGTATTATGGTACATTAGTTACAAATTGTTGTTCTCAAAAAACAGTGCATTGTGTGTAATACAACTGTGACTTTTATTAAATTAGTTAGTTTTTAATGAAGGCCAGAGCTTCAGCTGTGTCAAATAGATTGTTCCCTTTAATTAACGTTTTTTAAAAGAACATTATATTCCTATTTGATCATGTCCCCTTTATTGTATTACGGAGAGCAATGTGAGCATCCATTCCCATTGGATAACGGAGGATTTTACACCCGGAAGTAAGTATTCTCTTTGCTGTCGATTGATTTTACAGTGATATCTGCACTACTCATCAACTCAAATACACCAGATTATCCTTGTTGATTACACAACATTGATTGGTTTAAATTGTGTGCAATGCTTTTGTAATTTTCCCCTTCGATTCGGAGAAACACATATTTGTTCAGTTTAGGATGGCCGAAGACACTACACTACCCAGAATCCTCAGTTATCGTTTGGGACTACACCATGTACTCTGCTTGACAAACCCCGTGGTTTGTCCTCAAGCTCTGTGATTGGATGTTGGAGTGGCAGTGTGCGAAGTTTACGCTGAGCGACAAACAGCATTTGTAAATGGAATGACGGCACACTATTCAAAACAGGAATCGAACGTCTCCTGCCCCTCCCCCCCTTAGGTCACAGGCTCCTCCAACAGTGCAACACAATAAAACAGATACACGGAAAAAATAGTGCAAGTCAATACAAAAAGAAAAATAGTAAAAAGTGAAATAGTGCAATAAGAGTTTCTATACAAGTGATTGGAATATATGATATATTAGACAAATCATTTCTAAGTAGCAGCCAGATGAATGTTATGGATGTTATTTCAAAGTTCAGGTGTTTTAGTCTTATGGCCTGTGGGATGAAACTGTCCCTGAGTCTGGTGGTTTTAGTCCGGATGTAAGATAAGATAAGATAAGATGGTACTTTATTGATCCCAATTTGGGACATTGTTTTTGTTGCAGCAGCATAAAAGACAAGGCATTTTACAATAAAACAAAACCACAAATAAACATGAATACAAAAGAAAAGAAAAGAAAAAAGAAAATATACGTGTTGAAATAGAAAACATACATGTAGATATTATATATGCAAATATACTTATTCAAAAATATATGACAATGGAATATGGAATATCAAATATTGAACAGATTATATATGTGTAAAATGTACAGCAAGGTTGTATTACAAGAGAAACTATGGAGCAGAGAGTTCTCTTCCAGCCAGAGGTGATTTATTGTACAGTGGGCAGGAATGTGTTCCTGTATCGGTCCTTGAGACAGCGGAGCTGCAGCAGTCTGTTGGAGATGGAGCTCCGTTGACTGTCCAGCTGCAGGTGGAGAGGATGGGTGGGTTATCCATGATGGACAACAGCCTGTTCAGTGTCCTCCTCTCCACCACAGCTTCAAAGGGGTCCAAGTTTACAGTGTTGACAAAATAAAATATACTGCTGTTTCTGGTTTAGTTTACGACGGATATATTTAGTTATTGTTTTGATATTTGTAACAAAAGCGATGGAAAAAACCCCACAGCAACACAGAAAAGATGGTCTTAACATGACCCAGCGGTCTAGTAGTTAATAAAAAACAATAATATCAAAACAAATAATTACTACTAACTTTATTGTGAA